GCCATTGACCGCGTTACGGAGAAGCTTGGAGATGCAGAGTTATGTGAACTGACTGGTGGTACATCAGGTACACTATGAAGCTTCATGGTATCTATGACCAAGCTGGCTGTACTTACTTAATTATTCCAACCTCAGATGAACGAGCAAAACCTCTTGTCAAAATCCGTGTGGCCAAAGGCAAGCTACTTGGTGTGAAGGTCGGCGTTATTGAGCATAAAAGACGAGCTGGTAATGCACGAGGTAATTCCAGTCCGTGCTTCACTTATCTAAAACAAAACCATTGACATGTTCACCGTTCAAAGGTACTAATGTTCAAAAGAAAATGAATACCTTGCGACTATTGAAGAACACTCAGCTACGACGAAAGCATGCTACATATATCAGACTTGCAAAGCAATACAATGAGAAATTCATGCCTACTCCATTACTGCGCACCCCAACTCTTCAAGAGGTTGAAGCAATGGATCTATGCCACCCTTTTCTCAATTTCGGCAGCCTCATTCACTCGACCGAACCTTGGGCTGTAGACGACACAACTCAGGAAGGGATGGAAGCATACATTAGCGTCTGTCGGTGTACCAAGGAGCTTCGCCGCATTGTAAAAGAAGCCAGGCAAATGCTGAACTGGGCTGTTTTGTATCAAGGCAGGATTGACAACCTACGTCAAAATAACACCAATGGTGAGTTGTTATGCTCCTTCATTGAAGATTTGCGCTTGATAATAACCATCAGTTTATGTATCTTGAAGACATAATCCCAACTTGGGCAAATAAAGATATGATGCTGGCAATCACATCTAATTTATCACGGGAAGCTTGGCGGTTATGGCTAAGGTGGAATGGGACCATCATCAGTTTACTGCACGAATCAGAACCTTACAATGTCTGTGAAACAGACAGTGATGATGATTTACAAGAAAAGTGGAGAACCATGGTTAAAAAGTGTCTTGCTGAGTGGGAAATGATGGTACAGGTCCCCACCATTGTCGCTGAAGAGGATGAGATTGGGGAAGATGATGATGATGATGAAATAGTTGAGCATGATGAAGATGAGTTTGATTACCTAGTTTACGAAGATTGATATCTGAAATACATGATCATTCCCACCCTTCCATGCCTCCAACTTTCAACTTATCTTTTGTCAAGAAAGATTAGGTGAGCATGTTATCTGGTATGGATGAACAAGTGTGAAAGTGGAATTCACACGTTGCACAGGTCTACACAAGTGTAGACGGGGTTTTTCCCACTTGTCACACTGTTTTTACATGTGTGAAAGTTTTTTTTAGTATGGTGTTATGTTTTGGGAAGAATTTCACACGTGACCTGACACAACTCTACACAAGTGTGAATGGGGTGTGATTCCTGTGGAATTCATAGGTCGCACCACTCTCTACACAAGTGTGAATGGGGTGTGATTCCCACCTGTATTGAGGACATTACATGTGTAAAAATCTTTTTTCAGCTGGGTGTATTGGTATAGATGAACAGGTGTGAAAGTGGAATTCCCACGTTGCACAACTCTACACAAGTGTAAACGGGGTGTGATTCCCACCCTTCACACCGTCATCACGCATGTCAAAGTGGTTTTTCAGTGTGGAGTTCTGAGATG